CTTCATAAACACTTGTGTTCCTCTTTTGAATTCTTAAGTGGTCTACTTGGTGCCGTTCTAAGACCTCAACGCTAGAGTGGGAGGCTGACTTAGTGTAAAAACCGCAGGGGCGGAAGTTGGAGACACTAAGTGCCGCGCGGTGCTTGGAGAAAACAACAAGTCCGTGACAAGGAGCACCTCTACAGATATGGATTCCAGCCACTAATTTCCTTCTTTCCGCATCCTTTAGTAGGCTAATGAGCCCTTCAGTGCAGATGAGGAACAAATATGGGGATAAGGGGTCACCTTGTCTCAATCCCCTAAAGGGGATTATATGACCTGTAGGACTTCCATTAATCATAATAGAGAAAGAGGCACTTCTTACACAATTCATGACAAGCTGTACAAGATAATCATGGAAGCCAAGCTTGAGCATTATTGACTCGAGAAAGTCTCCGTTCAACTCTGTCATACGCTTTGCTCATATCAAGATTTAAGGACATGTAGCCCTTTTTACCTTTATTTTTTCGCCTTACATAGTGCAAGACTTCATAGGCAACTAGGACATTATCCGTGATCATACGGCCAGGAATAAAAGCTAATTGAGAATCCGAAACTACACATGGGAGAATAAGCTTAATCCTATTTGCAACAACTATAGCTATTAGCTTATACATGACATTACATAAGCTAATAGGTCTATAGTCGTTCACTTTTGTGGGATGTTTCTTTTTTGGCACAAGAGTAATAAATGTATGATTAAGCTGTTGGGGAAAAACACAAGTGTTCAAAGCATTAAGGATAGCTGAAATCACCGACTCACCAATAGAAGACCAATAGTGCTGGAAAAATAAAAGGGGCATACCATCTGGGCCTGGAGGGATGCATTTCGTTAAGCGCTTTGATCACCTCATCTCTCGTGTATTGTTGGATTAGTTCTATGTTCATCTCCTCTGTCACTTTCCTTTCAACTATGTTCAGTACATCATTCATGCTAGTAGGTCCAGCAGAAGCAAACAGGTTTGTAAAGGGTTGAGAATGAGCATCTCGCACTGATCCGTCTCTAGCCAGTTGTCATTGTCATCTATCAGCTTTAAAATGGTGTTTTTCTTTATTCTCTGAGTAGCTTTTGCATGGAAAATTTTAGTGTTCTGATCTTTTCCACATAAATTCCTTCCTGTCCAGCCATTTATGAACCTCAGCAGAAGCCCAATTGTCATGAATGTTTAATACAGCAGGTTCTCTATTTTGGATGAGGGCTAGCTTCTGTTTGGCCTCCTTAAGTTTAGAATCAACATTTCCAAATTTCGACTTGTTCCAAAGTTGAAGAGAGGAACTGCATGAATTAATGCATTGCATCACTTCCGGCAGGAAGTACTCTGGCATGTATTACACCAGCATTCTTTAATAATCTCAGCACATTATTTTTCCTTCATCCACATAGCCTCAAATCAGGATGGTCTTGGTCTATACCTCCTAGTCGGTTTACCCACAATCTCAATCCAAACTGGCAGATGGTCTGAATGTGAAATGGATCCATGTGTAACAACAGCTTTCTCATAAAGATGACACCAACATTGGGTACTCATTAACCTTTCTAACCTTTCGAAAACCAAGCCTGCTTCCTCACGTCTATTGCACCAGGTATATTTGGGACCACTATAGTCCAGGTCTTTTAGCTCGCAATCCTCAATCACCTGCCGAAATCCATGCATCTGAGATTCTGGTTTATCTTTGCCCCATTTTTCCTCCATCGTCATGATCTTATTAAAGTCTCCAAATATAAGCCAATCCCCCGTGTCAAGTCTAGCTAATCTCCTCATCAGATCCCATACCTCACTCATGCGAGAAACCTCAGGATTTCTATACATTCCAGTAATAGCCCATTTCTTTGAATCATCCACAATAGAGGAGTGAATGTGATTATCAGAGTAATTAACAATACAGAGATTTGTTTCATTGCTCTATAGCAAAGCCAGCCCACCACTTCTTCCTTTGGTATCTACTTTAAAACAATTATCATATTGCAAAAAAACACGTACCCTTTCCATTTTATCAACAGTCAGTTTTGTTTCTTGAAGAAACAAAATCTGGGGAGCTTCCTTTCTAACTAGGTTAGAAAGCGCTCGAATAGCACGGAGGTTCCCAAGCCCCCATTTATTCCAACTTAGCAGTTTTATTGATTCCGGTGGGGTTGAGGATCAGCCACCACTAATTCATCCGAAATATCAGCAATAGATAAAAAAGAGCTTGTCCCAGACGTCTTCAGGCACTTTGAAGAGTTATTCTCTTTCTTTCCCCCATCATCACTAATCTGCATAGGGATCTTATTGGGTCTTGATACTCGTTTCTATGTGCGAGAGATGGGCTATTTGGAAAGTCCCTTAGGTAATTTTGATGCTGATAAATCTTCAATTACCATCGTACCCTCCGAGATAGAAAAAAAGTTACTCTGGCTAGGAATGAGAGAATCAGTTCGGGAATCAATTATCGCTAGAATTTTTGATTCCACAATTTGTATCAGCTCCATCATATTTTTTGGGATATGCTTATGCCCACTAAGGAAAGTTGAATCTGATATTGAAGATCCCGAATTCTCCGTCCCAATTTTTGTTTCTGGCAAAAATCTCGCTCTACCTTCCTTCGGTATGGACTCCCCATATTGCTCACCGCCCTGAGTAGGTCTAGCATCGGAACCCAAAGGCTGCTCCGATAACCCTTCTGTTTTGTTCCTGGGGAAGGAGAACAGCATCCTAGCCCCCTTTTGTCACTACCCGCTCTCATCCATAACCCATACGGGAACTCCTGTGGCGAACGCTTCAACATCTCCGGATTTCACATCTCACAATCTTTATGATTATGGCCAAGAATTCCACGTAGGTAACAAAAGGTGGGCATCATTTCATATGAAAATCGGACCCAAATCGGGAAAGGCGACCCTACACAGACATTCTTGCCTCTAGAAAGCGGTTTGGAAATATCAAAACAAACCCGAACCCGCATATATTCACTTTCAGCAAGATCATCGTTTTCCAGATCAACCTCAATTACTCTTCCCAGGGCGCTACCAATAGTTTTACCAACATTTGCATTTCGCACCATCACCAGTAAATCATAGATTCTGACCCAGAATAAAGCTTCCTTCATGGCTACTTGGTGGACTTGTTGTAGACCCATAACATCTTTTGTAATCACTAGATGCCTGTCAAACGACCAAGGGCCTTCCCGCTTGACTTTCTCCTTTCCCTATTCATCCCCAAATTCGGCGATGAATAAATTAGGGCTCGGGTCCCGAATCGAAATCAACCATGAAGCGCTCCATACCTTTTTCATTGTGGACTTCAGTGCTTCTTTATTAAAGTGTTTCACTGTCATCAATTTGAAAATGAGACATTTTTCGCCTCTCACTATCATCTCTTCCACCGAAGACTCCTCCAGCAATAAGCCATCTTCTTCCCTCTCCTTGAGGGATAACCGCTCACATAGACCCTCCAGCAAGTGATCCATTACAGGGTTAAATCAGCCACTACGGCCTTAGAAGAGAACCAGAAGAGAAAGAGAAGAGAACCTGCACTAAAACAGGAAAAAAAAAACCTCTACCAAGGGAAACCGTAGAGAGGAGAGAGAAACTCCCAGCAGCGAGAGAACATGGCTAGATTCTAATCTCAATTGTTTTTTTTTACTCGTCCACTCCACATCATTTTATATAATCCCTTATGTACCATTTTTTATGTACAAGTAGCACAATCCCAGGAAACAATTAAAAGATGAGAATTAGAGTTGGACAAAACTCCTAAATCAAACCGAATTGAGCGGTTCTAAATTAAATACTCAAACGGGTATCTGAGTCGGAAACCGACGAGTTTGATTCTGTTCTAGACCAAAAACCGAAGAACCGATACTCCCTAATTTTTTAAAATTTTTTATCTTAAATAAGTCAAATTATTTTATTTTTTAAAAATAAATTTGTTAACTAATTAATTTTGCCCAAACTCAAAATATAATTTTTCTATTTCTAATTTTCAATTCAAGCCAAACTTAATCAAATTGACATAAGTGTTACCAAAATCTCTTATTCTACAGTAATGTCGTTTCGTCGTTATGGAGAAATCGAATTGGAAGCTCGGCAGTGCCTATCTTCATTAATATGAGCTCATTATCTTCCTTTCATGTAATTTTAACCATGAAAAACTCAATAAAGAGATGCGGAAAAGATATCACGAGATTAAACTATGTTATCTTGCAAAAGTTCAGATTGAATATGCCATTAGTCGAATTAATGCAGTGTTGCTGTAAATATTAGAAAGCATAATTATTAAACAGAACCTGGAAATCGAATGGAGTCGAACCGAATCTAATGGAACCAAATTCAAACGGTTTTATAATTAAATTTAAATTCAACAATTCTACTTACTTTACTCAAAATTTTGGGTTCGATTCGATTCTCTCTAGAATAAAATAGAATTGGATCATACTCGGACCTAATGAGAATTCAAATGAATGATGTATCTCATTACTTGCTAATAATTACCAGTCATTATTATAATTATTATTTTTACTCGGTGGTTGCAATGATTGTTCTGGAGGACTGAAGAAAATATATTTTGGAGGCAATAATACAAAAGATGTCAACTCCATCTAGAAAGTTTGAAGTCATCCAAGCAAAAATATGCTACAAGTCAACATAGACTGCAGTTTATAATTTCTTAACAAAAATATGTTGAAATTCATCACAGACTTATTGCATCTGCATTCACAGTATTCAACACAGATACTATAAAGAGTAGAACATATACAAGATTGTCCTGCAAATTTCGTCTGTTTAAGAAAAGAAAATGATTTCTTTTGTTTACGTTATTTTGTTCATCATCTTCCTTTACAAATGCTACTTTAATGCTACTTCAAAAGCCCGGAAAAGTTTGCCACCATCTCCAGCGAAACTTCCAGTAATTGGAAATCTTCACCAACTCGGCTTATTCCCTCATCGCTCACTAAAAGAACTATCCGAACGCTATGGTCCACTCATGATGCTTCATTTTGGCAGTGTACCAGCACTGATAGTCTCCTCTGCTGATGCAGTTCGAGAGATAGTGAAAAACCAGGACCTGATTTTCTCAAACCGGCCGAAATTAAGCATTATGCATAAAATTGTTTATGGCTCTAAGGACGTAGCTTTTGCTCGTTATGGTGATCACTGGAGGCACGTTAGAAGTATAGCCGTGCTTCAGCTTTTGAGCAGTAAAAGGGTTCAATCTTATCGTCATATAAGAGAAGAAGAAACGTCACTTATGATTGAGAAAATTAGAAATGTATCCTCTTCTTCGACGTCTTTGATAAACTTGAGCAAACTATTGGTGTCGCTTACTAATGATATTATAAGTAGAGTGGTCTTGGGGAGGAAATATAGTGGTGGAGAAGAAACTGATAACTTCGAGTTGATGTTGAAGGAAATTGGGGAGTTATTGGTTGCTTTTAACCCGGGGGATTACGTTCCATGGCTTAATTGGATTAATCGTGTCAATGGTTTGAATACCAGACTGGATAAAGTGGCTAAATCATTTGATGAATTTTTGACGGGCGTAGTTGAAGAGCATAGAGGTCGAAAGCAAGGAAAGACAGACCACGATGGGAGCAATAATGAAGTAGATTTTGTGGACATATTGCTTGAAATTCAGAGGGAGAACGGTTCTAGTTCACCTATTGAAACTGATACCATTAAAGCTCTCATTTTTGTAAGAATCCCTCTCTCTTTCTCTAAGTGTTAGCATATTCATATGACATGTTGCAAACAATATTCAAAACATTATAAGATTTCATCGAAGAAACAATTTGGTTAGAGTCTAATCCTTTTCCTTTTGACAGGATATGTTTGGTGCTGGTACTGATACAACATATACAGCTCTAGAGTGGACAATGGCAGAGCTTTTAAGGCACCCGAAAATCATGGAGAGACTGCAGAGCGAGGTGAGATTAGTAGCCGGAAGTAAATTAGAGATAACAGAGGAAGATTTAGACAAAATGCCCTATTTAAAGGCTGTGATCAAAGAGAGCCTAAGATTACATCCTCCACTTCCATTACTGCTCCCTCGAGAATTAACTCAAGATACTACATTAATGGGATATGAAGTTGCAGCAGGAACCAGAGTGATGATCAATGCTTGGGCAATCGGGAGAGATCCAATGACTTGGGAAAACCCTGAAGAATTTCATCCAGAGAGGTTTCTTAATACGGGAATTGACTTCAAAGGGCTCAATTTTGAGTTTATCCCATTTGGTTCTGGTCGTAGAGGCTGCCCTGGAATAACATTTGCCATAGGTGTTGATGAACTTGCATTGGCAAAATTGATGCATAACTTCAACTTTGCAGCGCAAAAAGATTTGGACATGAGTGAAGCTCCTGGAACCTCTGTCCATATAAAGTTTCCTCTTCTTGTGACCCCAATCCCCCATCTTACTAGTAACTAACTGCTATCACTCTCTCTGTAATTTTCTATCATCATCGCAATAAAAAAGCTAGTTTATCTTGATTTGAATATAATACACATCGATCTCTTTGTTTCAAGCTTAAACAACAAGATACCACCGCCCTTAGGTTTCAAGAAAGAGCAATTACGATTAACAAATCTTTCTTTATATAAGTGTTAATCATTCACAAGTACATCACAAATAAATCAGTCAACTAAACAATTACAATTAAGACTTCTTAATCAAAGGAAATTTTCACTTTATATCTAATATTGATGGCTTTAATTACCTCAAAGGTACAAAGCTCGGCTTGTAGATAAAAGGTTTCATCAAAACTCTAGTTTAGGTTATTCAACATATTTACAACATTAGTTAAAGTGGCCACTATACATTTCGATTTAAGCATTCCTCTTTAACATGGTTAGTGTTGGATTTTGTGACCCAAATTAGGTTGGAATTTTTCGGAATATATTTTTCCTTCTTTGCACGTATTGGGAAAAGTATTATTTCCATTATTTCACGTATTTTATTGGAAAAATATTGAGAAAATATTTTTTCC